TTATTTCCCTCCACAGTGTGTAACCGTAACCTTTCACAAAATCATGTCTAGTAAATTGAGCGACACAAATTGTACTGTCTGATTGCAGACATTGGAAATTGAGTTGAAGATTTGAAAGGGAATGCAATTATTATTGTAAAATTAAAATTGGGGGAGACCCCCTTCTAATTGCATTGCAAGGGGAGGTTGGGGGTGGGGTTAAAAGGAATACTTTTGTATATAATGTAAATGAAAAATAGAGTCACATTAACAGAAATGTATTCATTTTCTCCAGGGGGAGTGTGCATAGTGTATTTAGAATTTGTAAAGCTTGCATCTTCCTGTCAGACATTAAATTGGGAAAATGTGTTTGATTGCGTCTGTGCAGACCTCTCTAACCACACCTGTTCATTTAATACTTTATGTACCCCTCCACATGGGGTTTCAAAGAAAAAAAAAGCATTTTCCTTTGTGTAAAATTAAACCTCTGTGTATTTCTCTATTACCTGTGTACTTTATAAAGGTGCTACAAAATTATTAAAGTCTTTTGAGGTATAATTGGAACTTGGAGACACTGAGCTTTGAGTGGCTCTTAAGGGTTGTTTCCACATTTACAGTTTGTAAAATGAATTTGTCAAATTTATAATTGTTATGCAATTTGGCAAAATACACTATAAAGGTACAATCTGAAGTGATTGGCACATCAGGTGGCAGTTGTCTTTTTTGGCTTTGTACATTCTATGTACAATCATTTCATATTCTAAACTGGTCAAAAAACATTGTGATTTTTAGTCTTGCAAAATCTGTATGTAGTTAGATGACGTGACAACCTAATATTTATCTAATAAATATGTATTCAGATGAAACACAATTAATGGCCTCTGTGTCTTTTGACATACTTGTATTTAATGATACATTATATATTGTAAATTAAACTTTGTATACATGGAATATATAGAGTTTGTAACTGCAGTATTATTTAATGGTGTTTATAACAAGCTGAAACAGCCCAGACTAACCAATAAACCTTTTACACAGCTGACATTTTATCCAGTTAAAGTAGGAAAAGCACAGGCATAAATATGCGTGTGGGCATCGCCTGTGTTCTTCCTACTGGAACAGGACATATTTGCTGGGGAATGTCTGTTTTGTCACTTTAATATATTATTTAATGAATAAGCTATTAATAAAAACGTTATAAAGCAATAACTTCAATCTTAATCCTGCAAGCTGAAATGAATACTGAAGAAGTAGATTGATTGCATTTCTGCAGTGAAATAATCAAAATGTTTTTTTTTTCAGTTATGAACAGATTTATAATTGTCACTAATATAATCACCACTTAACAGGGGAGCAGCAGATTTTAGAAAACTTAAAAAAAAAACCATTACCAGTCCTGCTCCTGAACATACATAAATGTACTGTAATAAGATTTAGCAGAGCTATTTTGTCAAGTATTTGATATAAGCTTTAGCTGTTTTATGAGTCTCATTTACTGTATTTAAGCATTTATTTATTTTTCCCATGCCACTTGGGGGCTCCTATACCCCACAGTTTTTTGTTTTTTTAATAAATGTTGCACAAATGCTAATGATAGCAGAACAGAAAGGTTTGTTTTCTGGCACGTTAGCTCCTGCAGTATGACCAACTGAGCATTGTAAAATTTGCGAATGTTATTAGTCATCCCAGTAACTTTCATTTTGAAAGAAATTTGAGAAGAAATATAAATATATACAATAGCTGATTAATTTTCAATTATGGAATGATGTCAGGTATTTGGCACAAGTAATATATTACTCACGATTACTGAACGACAAAGTAGGCTATAAACAAGTAATAGTTCACCTGAGTTTTTACAAATTCATTCTGAATGATTTTTTTATTTTCCTCATAATAGTTTATTGATTTGATAAATCAAGTTCAATATTGAACTTTGAAGCAGCAGATGGAGGGGAAAAACTGGCTCCTTGCTACTTGATATTTCTGAACTGCATTTCCTGCCAATGCTGAAATTTCCTTCCTATATTGAACAAGCACCGGTTTTCTAATTTCCTATCAGCCAGGTCGGAGGTGTTTCACTTCCTAAGCCTCCCACGTGGTGTCGCTGTTTGTTTCAACACCGCACGTCCGACTGTGTGACGTCACATGTAAACACTACCAGCAGCACCCATATGTGCTCTGCGGGGCCTTCCGCACCCACTAAGTAGTTGAGTAGTCATGTTACAGATAAAAACCCGCATGAGGTACAGCTCCCTGGGCATCGCAGCTGCGAGGTTGTTCTCCTCCGGTTCCTCCAAAAACCCGGTGGTGTTTTTGGACATTGAGGCCGACAGTGAGCCTCTCGGAAGAATAATCATTGAGGTAGCTAGCTAGCTAGCTAACTAACGTTAGCCTCTCCCGAAGACCTTGGTGTCACCTGCAGCCTGTCAGATATGTGCATATGAGGGAAGTGCATGGCTTTGTGCAACCATTCATCCATGAATTTGAATATTATTTTATTTTGCAGTTGAATGCAGATGTTGTGCCAAAGACAGCAGGTATGTTAAACCATGTTTACTTTTTGAAAGAACCTGAAGAGCATTTACTGCCGTTGACTTATGCCGATACACAATGACAATAAATCTGTGTCTTAACAGAAAACTTCCGAGCACTGTGCACTGCGGAACATGGCTTTGGATACAAGGGATGTGGGTTTCACAGGGTCATACCTGGGTTCATGTGCCAGGTAAGATTTACAGTGAAGTCTGTCAGTAAAGTGCAAAGTGCCTGTAATGCTCATGGTAGTGTGTTTTCTGTTGCAGGGAGGAGATTTCACCAAACACAACGGCACTGGAGGGAAATCTATATATGGGGAAACGTTTAGAGATGAAAACTTCAAATTAAAACACACTGGTCCAGGTGCATCTATACAGCTTCATTCATCACAGTGTTTCATCCATCCATGATGCATGTTTGTTACTTCATAACAACAGTTTTCTTTTTAATTTGCCAGTTGTCTGTGTATGTATTTGGGATTGCTGAAACAATTAATCACAGGTAGAAAACAAATCAACAGTATTGAAAAGTAATTTATCAAGGAAAATTATTGTCTCAGATCTGGGGATTTTTAACACTTTATCTGTTTTTGAAGTCAAAATAATTAGTCAAAAATAATGAATTGATTAATTCCTAGGAAAAACAGTCCTAACTTGTATGCATATTACCACATATATGTCACTTTCCTAGCATCCTAACAGTATAATTTGCCATAATTCTTTATTTTAATATAGCTGCTTCTGCACTATTATAGATTGCAGTGCCTAATGTCACCCAGCATTAAAACTACTGGCTGTATTGATTTTGAAATCCCAAGGTGAATGACCTGCATTTTATGCAGTAATCAAAATAACTCCTTCCTTAAATAAACTTAATCCACATGCTGATTATTTGGTTCTTCATTTTAAAGTGTTGCGTAATCGCAGTTTGCATCAGATTCCAAAAGCAAAACGGACCTGAACCTGACAGAGTTACTGACTTATGTTGTGCACCTTTTTGGCTCCTGTCTGGTGTAAATGTCAGGCCAAGATCTTGTCGGTTGCATCACATTTAATTGATTTACTTGTTGTCTTTTCCATCTCTGCAGGAACACTTTCAATGGCAAACTCAGGGCCAAACACAAACGGCTCCCAGTTCTTCATCTGTACAGCTAAAACTGAATGGTAAATATAGGACTTAATAATCAGTCATCTCAGCTCTGCTGCTAATAATTTCAGAATCACTTAGCAGCAGCTGAAACCACTTCTTGTCTCTCTTTTGACAGGCTCGATGGTAAACATGTGGTGTTTGGGCAGGTGAAGGAAGGTATGGATGTCGTCACTAGGATGGAATCCTTTGGCTTACATGACGGCGGTGTAATCAAGAAAATTGTCATCGCTGACTGCGGGGAAATCAAATAGAATCTAAGATCACGTGGACTTTGGTCAGATGACTCGCTATGCACTCACTTGGTATTTATCTTTCCTTTCGTGTTCACTATATTTTCAAAGAGGAGCTGTCACGGATGATTCTGCTCTTCCCTAAATGATTATTGCTGTTAAAAGAGCCATATTTCATGCTCAAAATCAGGAATGAAGTGTTTATAGTGTGTGTTTACTTATAACTAATACTAATAATGGAAACGCAGGGAGTTATAACACTGATGCATTTTATCTTTGTTGTTACAGATCTCCTGCTTTTCTGACTTTTAACTTTAGCCATCCCTGTAGCTGTCTACTATGCAAAATGTATTTAATATGCAATTACTCTCAAATAAATGGCCATTTTCAGATTTTACTAGCTCTGGTCTTAGTGCAGGACATTTGCTGTCATGTGCCACCAGCCCTGCTGGTTTTAACGCTTCCTGGAAATGAACCAGCAGCAGCAGCTTTTTTTAGACACCGACTCCAAGACGACTAACTTCCTGTCCATCAGAGCAGGATGTGACATGAAGTTACATCCACCTACAGTGGAGCTGAAATATCACATGGATGCAGTTGATATATAATTGACCTGTTGGCTATAGCCTCATTGGACACCATGAATCCAGATGATTGAATCTGCTAAAACCATGAAGAAACCTGAAATTGCTTGTCTTTAGCTTGTATGTGGGCTGCTCTTCCTTTGCTGCCTCTTTATTTGAAAGACAGAGTGTCTAGAGGGGAGAGGAGGAGGCCAGGACCTGTCTGAGAGCCAGAGGCTGGGTGGTGCTGCTTATCGAGCTAATACATTATGAAGGTAAATAATGAAGCGATGTGAAAAAGCGGCTCTTGCCTCTAAATGAAACCATATGTGAGCTGACCTTCCACAGTTTGTTTGAATTCTCACATTACATTGTTGCTATAGAGACTTTCAGCTCTTGCTCTGTTTGAGCTAGAGATGTTGTAACAAACTTGATATAATTTGGGTCCCCACCCTCTGGTGTAGTTTTAGTTATTTGGAATGCACGTCGAGTGTTGTGCATGGAAACTTGGCTTGAAAGACGATGATACTGTGGCCAATGTTTAATACGCGTGCAAAACAGTGACACTTAACAACTGGTACAAGCTGGTTCTTCTGCTGTAAATGTCTACATTTATCACACAGCACCCATGTCAGCTGGTGTCCTTTGTTGTGTTTTGGTTTTCCTGTCCACAGTCTGACTCAGAGTGTTGAAATCAACTCCTGTCATCTTGATGTATCTGTTATTATTCAGCACTTTCACAGAAAGTGAAAAAAGGATTTTACAAGTCTCTTCCTCTGTTGTGTTGCACGACCACCATGAATAATCCATTAGGAACTCTTTTGTCTTATTTATATACACTTGTGTTAGACTACAAGCTTGTCCTCAAAGGCACAGATGCTGAAAACATAAAATCTCTGTAATGAATGTTAAACAGCCATGAGCTTTTATAAAACGTGTTGCTTTTGGCTGAAATCAAACTCCACAGTGAACACCTCACAGGAATTCAGCAAACCAAACTAATGAAACACATAATCCAAGCAGTCCTAATGGATAATGACTTTTTATTCATCAAACTCTCAACAGCTCTAAAGCACTAAAATGTTTTCCCAACTAACAAATAAGGCACATTTTGGAATGCCATTTCATGGACATGAAAAACAGACCTGTGGTTTACTGTCGAAACCATCCTTATCCTTGTTTCCCAAAATCATCATCTTCCTGACCTCACATCTGTGTTCTGTCCACTTCAAATATTACATTATTGCAATACAGACACTAAAGAGTACAAACATAATTTTCCAAGTTGACCACATAAGTGTTAACACATTACATTCGGTAAATAAGTATTATTTGTAGAGGCTACGCTAGCGGTAAATGAAATACTTCAGTAACAATCAGAAGTTAAAAACAATATGTACTGTAACAAACTACTGTAAAGTATTTAAATAAGTATGCATTGCACAACGTAATATTTCATTCAAAACCAAACACATGCACATGCAAACTCTAAAATAGTTCTTTGTCACGCACGCTTTCTTAACAAAACTATACACTCCATAAACTACTAACACTAACATTTTATAATAGTTTCTTGTCATTGCTGCTTTAAGCAAACTACATCTCACAGTTTAATGTGCTTATACAGTGGTGAGTATCTGTCACTAATTAAGAAAAAGATTTCTGCATGTTAACACAATGTAACATCATAATATAATAGGTACTGTTTACAAAATGAATACATGCAACTGTATGTAAATGGAAGCTCATCATTAGTTACGAATAGCAACAGAATAACATTGTGGGTTATTCAACACTGATAACATCATAAAACAAAAGACAAAAATACAATGGCTTATAATTGCAAACGGGTATTAATTATGTACCAGCTTTTTAATAATATTCCATGTAGACATCAATATTTCCTTCTTGGTATAACTTTGTTGCATATTCTATACAAAAAGTGATGTAAAAAATCTTTCCATAAATATTTCTGCAGGATAACCCATCAGATTTTTGTAAAACATAAAAAAGAAAAAAAAAACTCCCAGCTTTGTTTCTCAACAATAGGCCCTTCTTCACACAAAAAGCTTCAATATTGCATAACACTTCAAAAGAGCTACTATCCTTGAAAATGATGGCCATCAAATATATACATAAATAGTCTCTTTGTCAGGGAGATAACTCTTGAGTTTTTGCAGATTGCTTTAAAAATTTCAACATCTAAGTGTTCCAAAATAGACATCTCATTCATAGAAAATAAATTTGAACTGAAAAGGTATTAGAAAAGTCAAGTATATGTAATTCAAGACACTGTGTCTGAAAACAGATATTTTTCTTTTTTCAGATGCACTGTATCAACTGCTTCCATTGGCTCTTGATTTGCCATTTAAAACGGCCTCCCCATGTCTGTGAGCAGAATCAAATTGACATGATTTCTCACTATTCTGACAGAACTCTGTGAATCACAATAACATTGTTACATGTTTACGAGGTTAGTTCATTCATAAGGCATCATTGGTATCTATTACTCTCAATGCAGCCACATGGTATGATAGAAACAATAAGGTTCAGATTTAAAGACCTGCTAGGTTAGCATCATCACACACAGCAAAAGAAAGATGGTAACAGACTGAAAAATGGATTGTTCCCAACAAATTAGGCCTTTAACTTGTGGCACTATAGATGCATAACTGACAGTTCCTTTTATTAAAGGGGCACTCCTTAAATTTTAGCCATGAAGCTAATTTTTTTTTTATTGTGAAAGTATACTGACAGATGCTGTTGAGTTGCATGATGGGAAATGTAGGAACCAACATTTTTTTGGACCTTCAGTCATACTAGCAACTAAAAGGTACATATCTCAGCCTCTGCTGCCTTGATTTAGACTGTTTTTTTGAGTCTCTTGCCAGCCTCCCAACTCTGGGGATATGGCTAGAGTGCCCCTTTTAACCTTACAGATGGAATTCAGTTAAATGATCATTTCCCAAAACTGTAAAACTGTATCAACCACTGTAAACTCTCCCACTGAGGCAAGTGACCATGTGTATTTTTTGACAAAAACCACGGTTCCTTGGATAAACATAAGTACAATACATAAAAAACAGAGTGAGATCCACAGTTTCATCTGCGCCTCCATTCTGTTGTTAGAATCAACTAAGAAATAACATCTTTGTTGATATTTCATGACAACAGACCACAGGATGATTGCTGGTGCCAGCTGCAAATGCTGGTTCAGCCAGTGCCTCCAAGTCAGCAAACTGTGTTGACGTGAACACCCACCATGCCAGTTCAAACTGATAAAAGAGAAACTATCGGTTTTTATCCTTTATCAACCTACATTAAACTTACTATGCATCAGAGATCCCACGTGCACGAATACTTCTCCAACTCTGAGCCTGTACCCAAGTCTTTTCCTAACTTTAAATGGCCTCATCGTCTTGACTTCAATCTTTTTAAGGCACAATATAATATGTTACAGTATAAAATATAGTCAACCTCCTTTTGTAAGGCTAGAAATACAGTACATATAAAATAGTTCACAATTCCTATAACAAGGTTTCTTGAGAGGCAGGTTTCTATAAGTCAAAACTACATTATTTCATCTGTAGTACTTTAGGTCTGCGCCTTGATATACAGTATGTAAACAGGATGTGTACTTCTCTTACTTTAAAGACGCTGGCTTATAAAAGTAGGCCCCATAACTTGAATCTGAGTGTAAACTTACAGTATTTCATCAACACGTTCAATATTTCCTTGAATCTTCAGCATCACATCACAAATCATTGTTTCTCTCAGCCAACTTGAAAATCTTTCACCTCAGTCTTGACACTGCAGTTAGCTATTGGACATACTTTTGAAGGGTGCGAGGTCTTGGAAAAGCTTCCAGTTTAAGTTCACTGACTCCACCAGGCATCAAATGACACTAAAATATGATGTGTATCACCATGAATCCCTTTTTAAACAAACTTCTCCTTTTGTAATTTCCTAATTTGCAGTTAAAATATAACCAGGCTTTACAATTTAACCCCTAATATGTAGAAAATATTTTATAATGCTAATCAAAGTGTTGAATATTTGACACTGGCAAGCAACTGTGTGGATGACTTAATCTTACATCTGCATCTACCTAACACTGTTGGTAACCGAGGATTTGTATGGCAACTAAAATACTCTAGGGAGGGTGAATGAAACCTTATCTGTTAGCAAGACTAAATCTAGACGAGGAGCAAGTAACGCAACTGAACCTACAGTAGTTTCAGACACGTGGAAGCAGTTACACATTAATGTACTATACAAACATACAAAAAAAGCATTTTTAAATGTCCCAGTTATAGTTAAATTGCACACTAGACAAGAAAATAAATAGGCCAAATGTAAGCTAGGGATGTATGGCACATTATCCCTCAGTTAATTCACAGTTAATAAGATGTGCCGTTGACCCTAATACGGCAAGAAATCAAAGACCTCCCATACATTATATCGTCATGAAGGCGCGGGTTAAACGTTCATCACATTACCACACACTTCGCTTGGCTGGAAAATGAAACACGGAAAGCCAACAAAGCCCAAGGTGAGGTAATCTATTGACACCAATACTGCCTGGTGCTAAATCATCAATGCAGTGATTTACTGTTGTTGTTGGATCAGTGGAGTTATGTGGTTTCTGATAGGTGAGGCATAAAGAAGTCACATTTGCCTTTGCTTATGATGAAGAGCACTTTATGAGCTACAGACTGATCCTAAATTAACACATTCCTCTAATTCCTGGATGTAATCTTCAATACTGTCTAAAAAAAACTGTAGTTAACCAAACAAAAACAACAAAAGTTGCTCTCTGACTGAATAAAGAAGGTTATTGCACACGGCGGCAGTAGTAGCCCAGGACTTTACATTTCTCGCACAGGTGCTGTGGGTGCTCCTTACTCTGGTCAGAAACATCCAGGCCATCCGGCTTCTCTAAAGGGCGCTGTAGATGTAAACAGAGCAGTAATGAGTCATATTAGACACTAAAGAAGCACAGCATAAAATCTCTTGAGTTTATCAAGTCGTTTATTTGGCACCATGTTCAACTTGGCTATATACCGGGTTACTTTGGCCTCCAACATAACTTCCATAGTCTTCTCAGACCAGCTGCAGTGAAAATGGAAAACTTGCTGTATACTAACAATCTGGCATTAAAGAAAAAGACCCAGTTTGCATTTGATCATGATGATCAGTTTGGAGATATTAGTGAACCACTGCAGCACTGGCTTTCGTGGAATCACTGTCTATGACTAAGAGAATCTATCAGGTCTGGCACGTTTAGAGGTTGTTTTAACAATCATATGTAAAACTTTATTTCTTATCTGCTCTTTTCTTGTTAAAGAAAAGTTGGTTTAAGTAAACTAGTTTATCATGGGTCTACAGGGAGATATTTCAGTTGTCTATAAGTGTGTCTGGCAGGATGCACTGAGACTTTAATTTTGGTGCCTTAAAAATATTACATTCTTGAAGGAAGCTGGAAAATCTGATGATTATTTTATGGGGTCCCCTCAGTAGTTTTGAGGAGCTAGGTTCAAGCCCCTTTGCTGCATGACACTTCCCTGAAGTGTCCTTGAGCAACAGACTCAAGCTCAAGGGCATTGCTCTGTAGCTGAAGCTGCAGTCTGAGCTATTTCCATTTGAAAGACGTGAAAATAGAATTTTCCTCCGCAGCCATAAATAATGTGCAAGTTTGTGTTTGGCACAGAAGCAGGGATCACATTGAAGAATTTTTAAGTTTGTCTGAGTTGAGAACGTAGATTTGTATCTCGAACTGTTAGGGACAGAATGTAGTTTAGGGTTCAACCAGTTAAAAACTAAAACAATTATGTGTGAATGCTGTTTAACCTGGCCTAATATTATGAAATTAACTAGCGAGCTTGCAAACTGTCAGTTAGTATGTTCATTAGCTTGTTCGCTGAGGGAGCTGTAGTTCACATTATTTATTTAAAAAGGTTATTGTATCATCAACTCAGACTGTGGAGGGTTACAGAAAGCTGGATGGAGCAGCAACAAGCTGTTAACTTCCTCCATTTTGGATGCTCTCTTCCCTTAGGAGCTCAGCACTTTCCTGATGGCTTGCTATTGATTAGTGGTGAAAATTTACGGTCACCTCTATGAAATCCACTGAAATGTAGCAGTTCTAAATAGTGTTGTGATTGGGCCCCAAGATGTAGGCTATCAACATGTTTCTCTTATCTGAGATATGGCAACTGGACACTGTTTAGAGATGTTAGCAAGTAAATCCAATTAAAACTCTGTAAGGGAGAATTTTACAAATGTGACTTTAAAAGTAAGGGGACATGTAAACACCATCCCCTGTGAAAATAATGCTCCTGGCATGAACCAAATGCACAGAGAATTATCTATTTCCTATCTAAAGAGGGACAAATATTTTATACATCTGAGTGGGATTGGAAAATAAATTTTCAGTCCATGGGAATACGCAGGGAGAAAGGAAAGTGTGCTTAGCGGCAGAGTTCTTTGATACCCGAGGACACAGAGGTTAGCGGTCCATTTCAAACGCTGACAGGGGAAATATGTTAAGTGGGTGACATTGAAAACACAGGGAATTTGCTTGCCTATGTGCAGCTTTGCCACAAGATGCAGAGCCAGGGAAGAGTGAGTTTTCTCACAAGTAAACTCCATGGAACAAAATGATTTGAGTGCGAAAACCTTTGGTACAGGTTGTGTGATTGCACTGATCCACCCATGTTTTTCAGAGAGTACAGTTAATATTCTTGGTTAATATCTCATTAAGATACAAATGAAGAAACAACAGATCTGGAATAAATTATGCAATAACTTTCCATTGTCTGGGACTGTTGCAAATCCTTGCCAGACGGGTGAATTTGTCGAGCGGCGTCCCTTTCCTGCTTCGTTTCATGTAAGCGTTAACAGAGAGGAGCCTGGTCAGCCATGGTATTCATAGAACAAGTGGGGCCTTGAGCATTAAGCCTAATTTTATTTCAGGAAGTTGAATTGAAAGAATATGGAAAAGCATAAATATTAAAAGATGAAATGTTGAGGATAAGTATATCTCTAGCCGAAGAAAACAGATTTATCAACAGGCTGTGAGGAGCATTTTGGAGTTTGAGTCAAACAGACCGGGTACAGCACGTTGCTCTCCTCTGAGTGTTTGGAAAAACACCCTGCAGCATCTTTGTTAAAATGATTTCACCTTTTCACGTTATTAAAGTTGAGAGAATTTTTTTGCAGGACTAAGCCTCAGCTATCCTGGAGTTAGTTTGTGTCCGAGAGCCAGTGGTAAACAAATATTCGTTTCAAGATGTGATTCTTTTCTATTAATCCCAAACATTTATCAGTCAGGAAATTTAATTTGTTTATTCAGCACTGGTTTATTACCAAAGAGACAAAAGCAATTGTTAGGGATGATTTTTATCTTATTTTACTGAGACCATCTGGAATATCCTCAAGGCATAAGTACACAGCCACGCAAACCTGAGCCTGGACTCTGTTAATTTTGGTTGCGACAGTTCAATCCACCACTTAAAGTGAATGAGTAATGTGGGTTTTTTTTTTTTTTTTGCTTTATGAATTCACTGCAGATTCTAAGAAAATGGTGTCATACAGTATGTTGAAGTACCTGTTTGTGTGGATAGACATTGATGTGGCATTTGATACATTCTTGTCCCATGTTGGCCCAGGAGTTGCCACTCATCCACTTCCTCTTACACTTGGGGCACTTGTACTCTCCAAAGCATCTCTTCTTTCCCTGGTAGGGTGTCAGCCCTTCACCTTTGGGTCTAGCCTGTAGAGACAAAAGTAAATGAAATGTATGCACGTTGGGAGAGCATGACTGTACTTTTACGTTTTCAATAAATACAACTTTGGGAGTGCACAAAGTGTTTTACTTCAGTGAAAGAGGACACTTTTTCTAAAGAATCTCATGCATCCAGCTGGACATTAATGGATGGTGAGCTTTGACAGCAGGGTGTGTCTGTCCTTGTCATGGTAATATATTAAGCTTCATCATACAACACACACCTACACACAATTTTGGCACAATATGTGGTTGTGTAATTGACATTTACTTTCAGTACAGCTGTGCTAAATTACTCCTCCTCTGATTCTCTTGAGGGAGATGATTATGAACAGTCAGCCAGCCATGAAAAAGCACTAGCCTAAGGGTCATACTTTTGGAAGGAGCTGCTCCAGTGACTTCATATTGGCACCTTTATGTAGACCACTATAACAGTATAGCGAGAAAAGTTGTGCTGTATTGTTCCCCCTAAAAGCATGAGCCAACAAGCATATTGCTGATGACGTCAAAGATGATAATCCACAAACTGTCCTCCATGCTGCCAAAACAAGTTCTAGTATACACTGATTTGTAAATTTGTCAGAGGCTGTCATTATCAATTTGAAGCTTTATCATCAGAAAAAAAGAAAAATCATTCCAGCACTTAACAGTGACAGTGACCATTTTGGTAAACAATCTCCCTCTATTGTGAAGATAAACATTGTAAATATAGTCATGAGAACTTTTAAAATGCTTTCATTCACAGATGGATATCCAATATGTCAGAAAGAAGTAAACTTAATGCACAGCATGCATCTGATAGCAGCTTTCCAGAAGGTTAGGAAATTCTCTGCATTTAAAGTGAAATCAGATCGGTGGAGTTCGCTCCCTGATTCCACTGCAAGACATCAGATTGTTTTCATAATCACTTTAACATTGGCTGCAGATTTCAGGATGCTCTGTAGGGGGTACAGAGCAGTGAGAGAAGGGGTAAAATCTGTATCCCATGTCTTCTCGTTTTTGTACCAGCCTGTGCATTAGTAAAAGGAACTTTAAATCAGCAGCATCTGGTGTTGTCCTAACACACGGCAGTGCTTTGCATCAGCACCATGGAGCCAATGCTAAGTATGAGTGGTCGTGCTTCGATCTGGCCCCTTAACAGTATGACCTCAACCCCACTGTCAGCTCTGCATCTCCCACTGTGACAGCACAAAGGGTGGAAAATCTGACTTCTGTTGGCCTGCAGCACACCATTCTATTATATACACACTGACAGGGCTGTCTTAATTCAAACAATATGCAATTTCAAAGACAATGCCATGGTAACATTTTGCTTGGATGCTGTCCCATAAGTGATCTAGTTACAGTATCATTCCACTGTAAACAGGCTGCCTCTCTCACTGTTAAAGACCCACTATTTTCAAGTTTGAAAATCAGTTATGATCAGAATACCAGGTGTGCTGCTCGGGAGGTCTAACCTTAACCTGCCCTGTATAGTCAGAGATAATGTTCCTGTTGCAGACATTTGTTCAGATGTCAAAAAAAAAATCTTCCTGATACTGCAGCCAGGACTCAGCAGGACAGAAACAGTACTCATCCTCCTCATGACCATTCCTTTCCAGCTCCATGCTGTTCTTAGGGTCTGGCCTTGGCCTTTGGCTGTGCACCAAGCTCTCTCTGCAGCTGAGTGATTTCAGATTACAACCCCTTTTGCTATGAATTTATATATATACAAAATCATTATTATGCAAGTTAGTTGTCGTTTATGAAGAAGTACATACAAATTTGCCAATTAGTGATGATGACTGGCTCAGGCATGTGATCTTTAATGTGATGTGTCAAATGACAGAGTGAGGTTATGTGACAAGTGGTTGCAGATGGGAGGCAGGTCTCTGGTAAGGGCTGGTTGCTCGCTGTCATCTGAAGGAAGATCAAGGAGGCCATTTATATCAGACAACAGTGAGTGACCTGCCCTTAACAGAAATGGGGTGATGACCTGCCACCCATCTACAATCACATGACCAAGTGAGGTCATATGACATGTCACATTAAAGATCACACGCTTGAGCCAGTCACCATCACTGAATGAAGACAACTGAGATATGACTGAAAGCTCCAACACAAAGTAAGGGGACTTCTGTGTTTAGATTAATTTTCGAAATAACAGACATTATAATTTTCAAATACAAGAAAGGTATAACAATAGGGCTGAAAGGATTAGTTGGTCAGTTAGTTGATCATCAGAATATTCACTGAACTATTTTGATAATGAATTAATTGTTTCAGTCATTTTAAGGACAAACATTCACTAGATCCATGTCCCCAGTGTGAGGATTTGAAGCTTTTCTTGGTCTTCTCTGGTAATAAACTTAATGCCTTTAGCCCCGTTTCCACCAGAGGAACTTTCCCCAGGGAACAGGAAATTTTTTTGCAACATAATTCCTCCACTGCATTTCCACTGGAGGATCCAGGGTATAAATTTAGTTCAGAGGTGTAGTTCTACCCCTAAAAAAAAAGTACCTTGCCGGGGATAGCACTTTCTGAAGGTCCAAGAACTATTGGTGGGGGGACTGCAGCGCTGAATGTTGTTGACTGGTCAAGTTACAGGGCTCTACGGTACAAGCATTGCATTCGCATATGATAATAATAATCACCTTTATTTGGCCAAGTATGTTACACACAAGGAATTTGTTTCCGGTACAGAACCGAGGCAGCCATCTGCCAACTCAACCAATGCCTCTAACCATCGGGGGCTACTTGGGGGATCAGTGTCTTGCCCAAGAACACTTTGACATGGGGACTGCAGGCACCGAGAGTCGAACCTCCGGTTGGGAAACAACTGCTACCCACCAAACCACAGTCGCCCCCATGAGCCTAAAAATCATGATGTGCTAATGTGAAAATTATTTGGATGCACTGCTGCCACTGACTCTCAGTTTGTTATGACCATTTTACCTTTAGGCCTACACAAAGAGGCCAGTGAGCTAGATTAATGCAGGAGTTCTCAGCCAGAGGTACACGGCACCATGGTGGCCCGCAAAGGCATTGCAGGTGGTTCCTGAACATGCATTCAATAATGTATTTCCCCTGTAAGAATCATTATTTTTCAATTTTTACATTTACAAGTATTGCTTATTGTTTGTGAATAATCACATTCATTATAATATTTGGAAAAGCCAAGGTGACTTTGAGGGTTAGAATAGTGCCCATATGGTTTATCCACCCCACATCCACATCCACCTACCACAGCAAGCATTTTATATGCAGCACTCTTACAACCCCGCTGCTGACTGTCGTGCGTCAGCCGGGTAATTTATTTAATCTTCCCTGGGCTTTGGCACTGCTGTGAAAATGCACATCACAATGAGCTCAAGGGACTTTTACCCTGGGGATAGTTCTTGGGCATTAGTTTCTGGGAATAAAAAAATACCTGGAACTTTCTGGTGGAAATACAGCTTTAGGATCTGTGACTGTCAGAACACACAATGTAAATATCCCAACATAGGCTCTGGGAAATTATAATCTTTCATCACCTGATATTTTATAGAAAAATTCATTTCAATCGATTTATTAAAAACATGTTTAGCAGATTGTTTGATAATGAATATACTTATTTGCAGCCCTATATACTATAAATACATACAATAAATACTTTTGTTAATTTTGAATAACATTATATTAATGCAGTTAATAATATGGAGAGTAAAACAAGTTAAAAAAGCCCTTAATCGACCCATTTTCTTATGTAAAACATCACTTCTGCCTTACATATGGTGCAATATAATTGAAAATCTTATTGCATTTACAGTTATAAATTTGTGTAAATCTACGCCCACTGTGGTCAGTTGCTGTCAAGCCACTGCAATGTGTCACCTCTCATGAAGGTCTTAGATGAAGTTTAGCAAATTGCACAAGTTCTGAAGTAATACACTTTCCAGGTACAGTTGGTATTGCACATTCCAATGGACCCCCACCAACACGTGGGAATGACCACTGCCAACAGAGGCAGGCTGGGAAATGTAGAGCTAGACTGAAGGCAGCAGCTCATCTACCATACATACACAGATAGATACTGGGGCCTGTCTCTATTTGTATTGGTGCAGTGGATTACAAATCAAAACCCTCAGCTGTAAACACTAGAATGCCTGAGTAAATGTTAGGCTTGATTTCCAAGAAAATAAGCACGCTTTGCTGCCTTTAAAGCAATATTTACAAACCATTTACAATACACAGTACAATGACTAATTTAATGGAACTGCGTCATCACACCACACAACCCTCTGGAGATGACCCTGCATGGGAGGATGTGTTTTGTTTTCCTTTGCTCTCTACAAATACAGCCAGTCATGCTTGTGCCAAAGTGAGAGCTAAATGGACATATCTGAGCCATTTGGAACATTTTAGGTGTCCGTCAAATGGAAGCGAGGGCTTTGAAATAGCAATTCAGTTCATGGTGTCCTGTCAGGAGATGGCGAGTAGTGTTTGTTGTATCACTTTGACAGTGCTTGCTTGTACTGAGACATTGTTTGTATATGTCCCTAAGACTAGATGTGCTGAGATAAGGGTCACTGTGTGTAGAGCAGAGTCCATTGAGAAGACAGTGTAGCACACTACAGGTCAGTGATTAAATGTAGCATACACTCACATGTTATATACATATTTACTGATGCAATATCTATGCAAAACACGGCCCCAAGCAGGCACATACACCGACATAATGCTTCCCTCTCCTTTTGTCCCCTTTAACATCCAGATACAAATGCACAGACACCGACGCATTCTAAATAAATTCCACATCCACAGGTTTTCATACACTCTTGAGTCACAACTGGAAAGTTTTCCAGTTCCTGCACTACTCCCACTCAGCATTTAGCCCTGCTACAAGGACACAGATCATTCTCAGGATTAATGAGCTTCCAAACTGTATTAAATAGAATAAACAGAGCTGTGCAAGAGACAGTAAAACAACATGGGAGATAAAAATGAGACATGAGAACAAGATGAACAAA